AGCGCGGCTGAGACGTCCACTCCGCTGAGCGAGTTGGTGGAGTTGCTGATGGTGGAGTCGTTGATGGTGGAGTCGTTGATGGTGGAGTCGCTCATGGTGGAGTGGGGGTGGGGAGGATGGGCGAGTGGGGGTCATTGAGCGAGATCGGTCGGGGTGGCGGTGGTGACTCGATTGAGAGCGACTGAGACGTCCACTCCGCTGAGCGAGTTGGTGGAGTTGCTGATGGTGGAGTGGGGGTGGGGAGAATGGGCGAGTGGGGGACATCGAGCGAGATCGGTCGGGGTGGCGGCGGCGGTGACTCGATTGAGAGCGACTGAGACGTCCACTCCGCTGAGCGAGTTGGTGGAGTTGCTGATGGTGGAGTGGGGGTGGGGAGAATGGGCGAGTGGAGGTCATTGAGCGAGTGAACGATTTGGTGCCTCTGTGAGTTACGAAGCGAAGGAGGGGGGGGGGCTAGGAGGGGGGCTAGGAGGGGGGCTAGGAGGGGGGCTAGGAGGGGGGCTAGGAGGGGGGCTAGGAGGGGGGCTAGGGGAGCGGGTGCAGCGCAAAGCGCGTTAGGGTCGCTCTTCAGTGGAGCGAGCGAGCGAGTTGCTGTTGGCGAATGGGTCGGTGGTGGACTCGGAGAATGACGACTCGGTGAATGACTTGCGGAATGACTCTACGGAATGACTTGGGGAATGAATCGGTGAATGGGTCGGTGTTGGACTCGGGGTGGCGGGGGGGGGGATGAATGGTGGGTGGTTCGGTGGCTTGGGTCCCCAGTCGCTCTTAGAGCGAACGAATGAATGACTCGATGAATGAGTCGATGAATGACACGGGGGAATTGCTTGGTGAATGACTCAATGAATCTATGAATGACTCGGGAAATCGCTTGGTGAGTGAGTTGATGAATGAGTCGATGAATGACACGGGGCAATTGCTTGGTGAATGACTCAATGAATCTATGAATGACACGGGGGAATCGCTTGGTGAGTGAGTTGATGAATGAGTTGATGAATGACACGGGGGAATTGCTTGGTGAATGACTCAATGAATCTATGAATGACTCGGGAAATCGCTTGGTGAGTGAGTTGATGAATGAGTCGATGAATGACACGGGGCAATCGCTTGGTGAATGACTTGATGAATGAGTCGATGAATGACACAGGGCAATCGCTTGGTGAGTGAGTTGATGAATGAGTCGATGAATGACACAGGGCAATCGCTTGGTGAATGACTTGATGAATGAGTCGATGAATGACACAGGGCAATCGCTTGGTGAGTGAGTTGATGAATGAGTCGATGAATGACACAGGGCAATCGCTTGGTGAGTGAGTTGATGAATGAGTCGATGAATGACACAGGGCAATCGCTTGGTGAGTGAGTTGATGAATGAGTCGATGAATGACACAGGGCAATCGCTTGGTGAATGAGTTGATGAATGAGTCGATGAATGAGACAGGGCAATCGCTTGGTGAATGAGTTGATGAATGAGTCGATGAATGACACAGGGCAATCGCTTGGTGAGTGAGTTGATGAATGAGTCGATGAATGACACAGGGCAATCGCTTGGTGAGTGAGTTGATGAATGAGTCGATGAATGACACAGGGCAATCGCTTGGTGAATGACTTGATGAATGAGTCGATGAATGCCACAGGGCAATCGCTTGGTGAATGACTTGATGAATGAGTCGATGAATGACACAGGGCAATCGCTTGGTGAATGACTTGATGAATGAGTCGATGAATGACACAGGGCAATCGCTTGGTGAGTGAGTTGATGAATGAGTCGATGAATGACACAGGGCAATCGCTTGGTGAATGACTTGATGAATGAGTCGATGAATGACACAGGGCAATCGCTTGGTGAGTGAGTTGATGAATGAGTCGATGAATGACACAGGGCAATCGCTTGGTGAGTGAGTTGATGAATGAGTCGATGAATGACACAGGGCAATCGCTTGGTGAGTGAGTTGATGAATGAGTCGATGAATGACACAGGGCAATCGCTTGGTGAATGAGTTGATGAATGAGTCGATGAATGACACAGGGCAATCGCTTGGTGAGTGAGTTGATGAATGAGTCGATGAATGAGACAGGGCAATCGCTTGGTGAATGAGTTGATGAATGAGTCGATGAATGACACAGGGCAATCGCTTGGTGAGTGAGTTGATGAATGAGTCGATGAATGACACAGGGCAATCGCTTGGTGAGTGAGTTGATGAATGAGTCGATGAATGACACAGGGCAATCGCTTGGTGAATGACTTGATGAATGAGTCGATGAATGCCACAGGGCAATCGCTTGGTGAATGACTTGATGAATGAGTCGATGAATGACACAGGGCAATCGCTTGGTGAATGACTTGATGAATGAGTCGATGAATGACACAGGGCAATCGCTTGGTGAATGACTTGATGAATGAGTCGATGAATGACACAGGGCAATCGCTTGGTGAATGACTTGATGAATGAGTCGATGAATGACACAGGGCAATCGCTTGGTGAGTGAGTTGATGAATGAGTCGATGAATGACACAGGGCAATCGCTTGGTGAATGACTTGATGAATGAGTCGATGAATGACACAGGGCAATCGCTTGGTGAGTGAGTTGATGAATGAGTCGATGAATGACACAGGGCAATCGCTTGGTGAATGAGTTGATGAATGAGTCGATGAATGACACAGGGCAATCGCTTGGTGAGTGAGTTGATGAATGAGTCGATGAATGACACAGGGCAATCGCTTGGTGAGTGAGTTGATGAATGAGTCGATGAATGACACAGGGCAATCGCTTGGTGAGTGAGTTGATGAATGAGTCGATGAATGACACAGGGCAATCGCTTGGTGAGTGAGTTGATGAATGAGTCGATGAATGACACAGGGCAATCGCTTGGTGAATGAGTTGATGAATGAGTCGATGAATGACACAGGGCAATCGCTTGGTGAGTGAGTTGATGAATGAGTCGATGAATGACACAGGGCAATCGCTTGGTGAGTGAGTTGATGAATGAGTCGATGAATGACACAGGGCATCGCTTGGTGAATGAGTTGATGAATGAGTCGATGAATGACACAGGGCAATCGCTTGGTGATGAGTTGATGATGAGTCGATGAATGACACAGGGCAATCGCTTGGTGAGTGACGTGATGAATGAGTCGATGAATGACACAGGGCAATCGCTTGTGAGTGAGTTGATGATGAGTCGATGAATGACACAGGGCAATCGCTTGGTGAGTGAGTTGATGAATGAGTCGATGAATGACACAGGGCAATCGCTTGGTGAAGTGACTTGATGAATGAGTCGATGAATGACACAGGGCAATCGCTTGGTGAGTGAGTTGATGAATGAGTCGATGAATGACACAGGGCAATCGCTTGGTGATGAGCTTGATGAATGAGTCCGATGAATGACACAGGGCAATCGCTTGGGTGAGTTGATTGAATGAGGTCGTGAATGACACAGGGCAATCGCTTGTGATGAGTTGATGAATGAGTCGATGATGACACAGGGCAATCGCTTGGTGAGTGAGTTGATGAATGAGTCGATGAATGACACAGGGCAATCGCTTGGTGAAGTGAGTTGATGAATGAGTCGATGAATGACACAGGGCAATCGCTTGGTGAGTGAGTTGATGAATGAGTCGATGAATGACACAGGGCAATCGCTTGGTGAATGAGTTGATGAATGAGTCGATGAATGACACAGGGCAATCGCTTGGTGAGTGAGTTGATGAATGAGTCGATGAATGACACAGGGCAATCGCTTGGTGAGTGAGTTGATGAATGAGTCGATGAATGACACAGGGCAATCGCTTGGTGAATGAGTTGATGAATGAGTCGATGATGACACAGGGCAATCGCTTGGTGAATGAGTGATGAATGAGTCGATGAATGACACAGGGCATCGCTTGGTGAGTGAGTGATGAATGAGTCGATGAATGACACAGGGCAATCGCTTGGTGAATGACTTGATGAATGAGTCGATGAATGACACAGGGCAATCGCTTGGTGAGTGAGTTGATGAATGAGTCGATGAATGACACAGGGCAATCGCTTGGTGAATGACTTGATGAATGAGTCGATGAATGACACAGGGCAATCGCTTGGTGAGTGAGTTGATGAATGAGTCGATGAATGACACAGGGCAATCGCTTGGTGAATGACTTGATGAATGAGTCGATGAATGACACAGGGCAATCGCTTGGTGAGTGAGTTGATGAATGAGTCGATGAATGACACAGGGCAATCGCTTGGTGAATGAGTTGATGAATGAGTCGATGAATGACACAGGGCAATCGCTTGGTGAGTGAGTTGATGAATGAGTCGATGAATGACACAGGGCAATCGCTTGGTGAGTGAGTTGATGAATGAGTCGATGAATGACACAGGGCAATCGCTTGGTGAATGAGTTGATGAATGAGTCGATGAATGACACAGGGCAATCGCTTGGTGAGTGAGTTGATGAATGAGTCGATGAATGACACAGGGCAATCGCTTGGTGAGTGAGTTGATGAATGAGTCGATGAATGACACAGGGCAATCGCTTGGTGAGTGAGTGAATGGATATGACACGGCAACGCTGGTGAGTGAGTTGAATGAGTCGATGAATGACACAGGGCAATCGCTTGGTGAGTGAGTTGATGAATGAGTCGATGAATGACACAGGGCCATCGCTTGGTGAGTGAGTTGATGAATGAGTCGATGAATGACACAGGGCAATCGCTTGGTGAATGAGGTTGATGAATGAGTCGATGAATGACACAGGGCAATCGCTTGGTGAGTGAGTTGATGAATGAGTCGATGAATGACACAGGGCAATCGCTTGGTGAATGACTTGATGAATGAGTCGATGAAAGACTCGGGAGGGAATCGCTTGGTGGTCGACTCAGTGAATGAGTCGACGAATGACTCGATGAATGAGTCGATGAATGACTCCACGAATGATTCCACGAATGACTCACTTGCCCCCTTCCTCCCTTGTGCACCCACCGCCCCCTCCCCCCTCCCCGTGCAGCGAGCGGCGCGAGGCCGGGAGATGTCACACGGCCGACTGCTGCTGCTGCACCAGCCGCGTCTGCTGCTGCCCCCCGCACCGCTGCCCTGCCTGCTGCTGCCGCTGTCGCTGCTGCTGTCGCTGCCCTCCCTGCTGCTGCTGCTGCTGCCCGGCGGAACGTTGGCAGCCGTGGGGCCCATCTACTGGAACGCTTCAAATCCGCAGTGAGTGTCACCCTCCCCCCCCGCTCACCCCCCTCCCCCCCCCGCTCCTCCCTCGCTAGATTCCACTGGTTCTTCACGTTCTGCAGATGTAGATGTCACTGGTTCTTCACTTTCTGTAGATGCCACTAGTTCTTCACGTTCTGTAGATGAAGATGCCACTGGTTCTTCACGTTCTGCAGATGTAGATGTCACTGGTTCTTCACTTTCTGTAGATGCCACTAGTTCTTCACGTTCTGTAGATGTAGATGCCACTGGTTCTTCACTTTCTGTAGATGCCACTGGTTCTTCACGTTCTGCAGATGTAGATGCCACTGGTTCTTCACGTTCTGCAGATGTAGATGCCACTAGTTATTCACGTTCTGTAGATGTAGATGTCACTGGTCCTTCACAATCTGCAGATGTAGATGCCACTGGTTCTTCACGTTCTGCAGATGTAGATGCCACTGGTTCTTCACGTTCTGCAGATGTAGATGCCACTGTTTCTTCACGTTCTGCAGATGTAGATGCCACTGGTTCTTCACGTTCTGCAGATGTAGATGCCACTGTTTCTTCACGTTCTGCAGATGTAGATGCCACTGGTTCTTCACGTTCTGCAGATGTAGATGCCACTGGTTCTTCACGTTCTGCAGATGTAGATGCCACTAGTTATTCACGTTCTGTAGATGTAGATGTCACTGGTCCTTCACGTTCCGCAGATGTAGATGCCACTGGTTCTTCACGTTCTGCAGATGTAGATGCCACTGGTTCTTCACGTTCTGTAGATGTAGATGCCACTGTTTCTTCACGTTCTGCAGATATAGATACCACTGGTTCTTCACGTTCTGCAGATGTAGATGCCACTAGTTCTTCACGTTCTGCAGATGTAGATGCCACTGGTTCTTCACGTTCTGCAGATGTAGATGCCACTGGTTCTTCACGTTCTGTAGATGAAGATGCCACTGGTTCTTCACGTTCTGCAGATGTAGATGCCACTGGTTCTTCACTTTCTGTAGATGTAGATGCCACTAGTTCTTCACGTTCTGTAGATGTAGATGCCACTAGTTCTTCACTTTCTGTAGATGTAGATGCCACTGGTTCTTCACGTTCTGCAGATGTAGATGCCACTGTTTCTTCACGTTCTGCAGATGTAGATGCCACTGGTTCTTCACGTTCTGCAGATGTAGATACCACTGGTTCTTCACGTTCTGCAGATGTAGATGCCACTAGTTCTTCACGTTCTGCAGATGTAGATGCCACTGGTTCTTCACGTTCTGCAGATGTAGATGCCACTGGTTCTTCACGTTCTGCAGATGTAGATGCCACTAGTTATTCACGTTCTGTAGATGTAGATGTCACTGGTCCTTCACAATCTGCAGATGTAGATGCCACTGGTTCTTCACGTTCTGCAGATGTAGATGCCACTGGTTCTTCACGTTCTGCAGATGTAGATGCCACTGTTTCTTCACGTTCTGCAGATGTAGATGCCACTGGTTCTTCACGTTCTGCAGATGTAGATGCCACTGTTTCTTCACGTTCTGCAGATGTAGATGCCACTGGTTCTTCACGTTCTGCAGATGTAGATGCCACTGGTTCTTCACGTTCTGCAGATGTAGATGCCACTAGTTATTCACGTTCTGTAGATGTAGATGTCACTGGTCCTTCACGTTCCGCAGATGTAGATGCCACTGGTTCTTCACGTTCTGCAGATGTAGATGCCACTGGTTCTTCACGTTCTGTAGATGTAGATGCCACTGTTTCTTCACGTTCTGCAGATGTAGATGCCACTGGTTCTTCACGTTCTGTAGATGTAGATGCCACTGTTTCTTCACGTTCTGCAGATGTAGATGCCACTGGTTCTTCACGTTCTGCAGATGTAGATGCCACTGTTTCTTCACGTTCTGCAGATGTAGATGCCACTGGTTCTTCACGTTCTGCAGATGTAGATGCCACTAGTTATTCACGTTCTGTAGATGTAGATGTCACTGGTCCTTCACGTTCCGCAGATGTAGATGCCACTGGTTCTTCACGTTCTGCAGATGTAGATGCCACTGGTTCTTCACGTTCTGTAGATGTAGATGCCACTGGTTCTTCACGTTCTGTAGATGTAGATGCCACTAGTTCTTCACGTTCTGTAGATGTAGATGTCACTGGTCCTTCACGTTCCGCAGATGTAGATGCCACTGGTTCTTCACGTTCTGCAGATGTAGATGCCACTGGTTCTTCACGTTCTGCAGATGTAGATGCCACTAGTTCTTCACGGTCTGTAGATGTAGATGTCACTGGTCCTTCACGTTCCGCAGATGTAGATGCCACTGGTTCTTCACGTTCTGCAGATGTAGATGTCACTGGTTCTTCACGTTCTGTAGATGTTGATGCCACTGGTTCTTCACATTCTGCGGATGTAGATGCCACTGGTTCTTCAATTTCTGTAGATGCCACTGGTTCTTCATGTTCTGTAGATGCCACTAGTTCTTCACGTTCTGTAGATGTAGATGCCACTGGTTCTTCACATTCTGCAGATGTAGATGTCATTGGTTCTTCACTTTCTGTAGATGCCACTGGTTCTTCATGTTCTGTAGATGCCACTAGTTCTTCACGTTCTGTAGATGTAGATGCCACTGGTTCTTCACATTCTGCAGATGTAGATGCCACTGGTTCTTAACGTTCTGTAGATGCCACTGGTTCTTCACGTTCTGCAGATGTAGATGCCACTGGTTCTTCAAATTCTGTCGATGTAGATGCCACTGGTTCTTCACGTTCTGCAGATGTAGATGTCACTGGTTTTTCAAGTTCTGCAGATATAGATGCCACTGGTTCTTCACGTTCTGTAGATGTAGATGCCACTGGTTCTTCACGTTCTGTAGATGCCACTGGTTCGTCACGTTCTGCAGATGTAGATGCCACTGGTTCTTCACGTTCTGCAGATGTAGATGCCACTGGTTCTTGACGTTCTGCAGATGTAGATGCCACTGGTTCTTCACGTTCTGCAGATGTAGATGTCACTGGTTCTTCACGTTCTGCAGATGTAGATGTCACTGGTTCTTCACGTTCTGCACATATAGATGTCACTGGTTCTTCACGTTCTGCAGATGTAGATGTCACTGGTGCTTCACATTCTGCAGATGTAGATGCCACTGGTTCTTCACGTTCTGCAGATATAGATGTCACTGGTTCTTCACGTTCTGCAGATGTAGATGTCACTGGTGCTTCACGTTCTGCAGATGTAGATACCACTGGTTCTTCACGTTCTGCAGATATAGATGTCACTGGTTCTTCACCTTCTGCAGATGTAGATGTCACTGGTTCTTCACGTTCTGCAGATGTAGATGTCACTGGTTCTTCACCTTCTGCAGATGTAGATGTCACTGGTTCTTCACGTTCTGCAGATGTAGATGTCACTGGTTCTTCACGTTCTGCAGATATAGATGTCACTGGTTCTTCACGTTCTGTACATGTAGATGTCACTGGTTCTTTACGTTCTGCAGATGTAGATGCCACTGGTTCTTCACGTTCTGCAGATGTAGATGTCACTGGTTTTTCTCGTTCTGCAGATGTAGATGTCACTGGTTATTCATGTTCTGCAGATGTAGATGCCACTGGTTCTTCACGTTCTGCAGATGTAGATGCCACTGGTTCTTCACGTTCTGCAGATGTTGATGTCACTGGTTCTTCTCGTTCTGCAGATGTAGATGTCACTGGTTCTTCACGTTCTGTAGATGTAGATGTCACTGGTTCTTCACGTTCTGTAGATGTAGATGTCACTGGTTCTTCACGTTCTGCAGATGTAGATGCCACTGGTTCTTCACGTTCTGCAGATGTTGATGTCACTGGTTCTTCTCGTTCTGCAGATGTAGATGTCACTGGTTCTTCACGTTCTGCAGATGTAGATGTCACTGGTTCTTCACATTCTGTAGATGTAGATGCCACTGGTTCTTCACGTTCTGCAGATGTAGATGTCACTGGTTCTTCACGTTCTGCAGATGTAGATGTCACTGGTTCTTCACTTTCTGCAGATGTAGATGTCACTGGTTCTTCACGTTCTGCTAATGTAGATGCCACTGGTTCTTCACGTTCTGTAGATGTATATGCCACTGGTTCTTCACGTTCTGTAGATGTAGATGCCACTGGTTCTTCACATTCTGCAGATGTAGATGCCACTGGTTCTTCACATTCTGCAGATGTAGATGCCACTGGTTCTTCACGTTTTGTAGATGTAGATGTCACTGGTGCTTCACGTTCTGCAGATATAGATGCCACTGGTTTTTCACGTTCTGCAGATGTAGATGTCACTGGTTCTTCACGTTCTGCAGATGTAGATGTCACTGGTTATTCATGTTCTGCAGATGTAGATGCCACTGGTTCTTCACATTCTGCAGATGTAGATGCCACTGGTTCTTCACGTTCTATAGATGTAGATGTCACTGGTTCGTGTCTTTCTGTAGATGCCACTGGTTCTTCACGTTCTGCAGATGTAGATGTCACTGGTTCTTCACGTTTTGTAGATGCCACTGGTTCTTCACGTTCTGTAGATGCAAATGCCACTGGTTCTTCACGTTCTGTAGATGCAAATGTCACTGGTTCTTCACGTTCTGTAGATGCCACTGGTTCTTCACGTTCTGTAGATGCCACTGGTTCTTCACGTTCTGTAGATGCAAATGCCACCACCTCCATCTTTTTCGGGGCGGTTTAACTTTCGACTCTCGGTCCGAACAGGCGTTTGGACAAACGGACCAGATGTGTTCATATCTCTGAAAGTTCGAAAGTAGAGGAGTCACTGTAATAATAAAAAAACTAAATATTTTCTAGATTTGAAGCTTTCGTGACTGCAAGGATTCATACTCTTAGTTCTTTCGGTAAAGTCACGTAGGTAAAAATTTTTTTTAATAAAAATGAATAAGAATAAAACAATAAAATCACGACGTTTCGGAGGCAACACAAGTCTCCGTCATCAGGTGGGACCGTCACAGCCAGATTTGCTGCATCAAGTGAAATTTGCTGTACCACGTGATACAGCAAATCTG